GCATAATTCACACATACAAACATAGGTGCTTGCCAGCCATTGGCTGAGACAAGAACTTCTCTCGAGCATACACTGTCCAAAAACAAAAGTGAAATCAATCTATGTGTGCTATTTTCCTAACATGGTTATTGACAAGATGCGCTTTGTAAAAAAATTATTTTATTCTTAAATTTTCCTGTAAAATTTATCGTTCGTATCTAGGGTAATGTATCATTTAAATAAAGCATGCATTTCATGGATAATGCAGAAGTACCTTGCGTCGATCGTAAGTTTAAAACTTTTCGCTCATTGTACTTCGAAAACGAAGCGACGCAAAGCACCATCGACCAGGCTGGCGACTATCTTCGTTGCTCGTGTCAGCGCTTCAGCAAGACTTCGGCATTCGTTCGTCTGAACGAACAGCCGTCGGCTGGCATGTCGTCAAAGGCCAGATGAAAGGCCAGGCTAGAAATTTTGCGTCGCATTCAAATGTATGGGCCTTACTCATCTTAGTGTTTATTTTGTCTGTGGGTATACTAATATTTAGAATTTTAGGAAAAATTCAATTTCATTTATACATATAAACAATTCAATCACAAAAGAAAAGAGCGCTTGCATGTGAATGAATGGTACTAGCTGCCATATTGTTTTCCTAAATGACATGTACAAACATGTACTGCGCGGAAACTAGAACGACCTACGTTCAAATAATTAGTTCTTATAGCCATTAAGCCTTCTTACCTAGTTTAAATGTGTTCAGAGTATAACAAAATATCCTGTCTTCCGTCTTCTCGGGACTTTGAAACCTGAACTTCGTGCTCAATGTGCTGACGCATAATCAACTTTGTTATTCAGACGACTGCTTTGGCCCTGCCAAAGATTTTAATGACAGCAATGTAGTAAAACCAAAAAAAATGCATATAACATTTCTTCGTTATTACTTATTTTATATTGACTTATTTTTGGTAAAGAATGAAAATTTGAAAAAACCAATATTGAAAGATTGCTGCTGCATGTAAAGCGGCGAAGCGTGGAGGTGGCATTATCCAAAACTTCGTCTTTGTGCCCACTTTTCACCCATAAGTTAGTTTTGATAGTTAGTTAGTTTTTTCTCCTGAATTCATTGAAAATGGGTAACAAGTAAGAGGCTCTAGTCGGGTGCTCTCGATTAGGCGACGAACATCTCTTTTACCAACACCAAATGCAGCTCGCGCTCCCGACAATTATGTGTGTAAATTTAGAAATCGCAAAAACTTCAAATCTTGACATATTATCATCAGACAGGTAGGCTACCAACAGGCACACAAAATTGTGCAAGTATGCCTGCGTGGCAAGTCCAAAATGTTTAAATGCACACATGCCTACGCTTAAGGACCCTTAACAATCATAACGAGCTAAAATGAAACAATTTCGCATCGACTTGGCAAACCCCTTTCATGCGTCCGAAATTTGAGAAAAATTCAATTTGTGCGCATTGTTGGACACATACATTTAAACGATCCCTAGACATAATGAGAGAGCATTGAGAGCACTGAGAGTAAGCCAAAGCAGTTTCCTGTAGTGGGAGGCAATTAAAAAAACAGCGATGCCGTTTTATCACCTAAATCATATGGGTTGATTACTCTCTGGCCCTCTGAGCAAGTGAGCGAGTCTCGGACCCGAACAAAAATGAAGTCGACTTTGGACCAGAAATCTATGAAATGAATGGGTACAAACATTTCTTCAAGCTGTCCCATCTATGTGTTGTATTAGGTTGTATTGGTTAGTGATCTTACAGAAGCTATTGTTGAATTGAATAAAAAACAATGGCCAAATGGACAAAAATTGTGAGACGATACAGCTCTATTAAAATTGCCCCTGGGGATTACCTGCTTAATATTAAGAAACTTCATTGCAGCACTAACCCTACATTACAACGATGAGTGTTATTTTTTATACCTAAGCCCTTTGAAGCCGTAAAGTATAGCTGTCAGACCACTTATCTTCTTTTACATACGGTCGAACATGGCTAGATCGACATTGCTATTGATATTGATCAAGAATATATATATGAAAAAAATTCATTTGTATTATTTTCAATGGATAATTTATTTAATGCGTTTTTCCCCATGTTAATAGCTTTCCCTTGTACCCCTATGTTAAAAACATAATTGGTTTTATGTATTATTTATAGAGTTCACTCAGCGCTGAAAAATATCTTTTCTTTTCATTTTGTATACTATTTACAGAAATTACTCAGCCAATTTATTCCCTTGCGGAGGTGGATGTCTGTTGATACTGGGGATATATATTTTTGAAAATTTTCTCTTTCTGAGCCTCCTGATAGTCGTCTGCCTTGCGGAGCTTCAAGGCATTTAAAGATAACCACGAGAAGTTTCTTTATGCTCTCTACGTGACGGCGGCTGTCGCTTTTAAATGGGGTCTTCAGCCAAGCCCAAAGATCCCAAAAATACGCCTAACTTCTTTCAGAAGTGCAACCCCTACCTCGATACGGATGTCGGCCAAGTGGTCATAGTAGAGGAGACGCAGAGACCATCTCGCCAAGTCATCCTCGTCTTCAATGATGAGTCTGCTGAGGCTGTGAGTCTGAAACAGACAATCAGGAGTAGCTTCAAGAACGTAGTCTTTCGGCTATACCTCTCCGACTCGGCAAACGGTAAACCAGCTGCTGAAGATCGTTAGTTCGCTGCTAAAGGAATCGTGGACGACTATACCCTGGACGATTGTGTGTCAAACACTTTGGTGCTTGTATGGAAACATGCAGATCTTGTGAACAGAGAGGATGACGACTCCCAGCTGGACGGAACTGAGGACGAAGTAAATTGCACGCTAGCACGTTTTAATCCTGGATGTCTCTTATTCTTCTTTAGTTTTACTTCCACTGCAATGCTGTAGCTTGTGCTATTATGTCCAACAAACTCTTTATCTTAACAAAGACCTAGGGTGACGAAATATCTTGTGGCGCATACGGCATTTAAAAAATTTAGTGTAAGTAAAGAGAGCTTACTGGCAGTCCTTCTGCTCTGAAGTTGAATGCAGTGCCATCGAGGTGCTTAACGACTGTTGTATATCTGAGCGACTTCGAGCGAGGAATCACTTAAACTGGTCATGAGCACTCACTACTAAAGTGGAACATTCACCGTGGGGGTGCCAAGTTCTGTTGCTGTATGACGTCCTGTCTAAAAGCAACACTAAATTTGTTATAAAGAGTTTTAAGCATAATATATCCGCGGGCCCGATTAAAATAATAAAATAATGAATATCGAGTCCCTTAAAAGAGCGCCTACCATCCTTCGTAGATTCATGCTCTGCATAATTGCATTATAATGCGATTTGATGGAACAGCTTATCCCCAGGTTTGGATCGCATATCGCCAGATGAGGTCCAAAGTTAGTAGGTTAACTAACCGTTTACATGCAAGTAATAGCTGGCAGAGATGGTTAACTAACCATATAGTCTTCACCGGTAGCGTAAGTAGGTTCCCTTAATGTTGCTGGCGAACATTAGTGGTTTGTTAATGGATACCCAGGTTTGTTGTCTCAGACGCAGACGTCGTTGGCATATGGCATACGGTATATCGGCTAATGGCCTATAAGCAGTGAGCGCCAAAATAATCCAAGAGTGTAGGCTTCTTAGTATGCTACCTTGCGGGACCCAAGCTTGGATGTAATAACTGGGAAACTATTCCGCCCTTATTTTAACCTTTAGAAGACGTCCAACTAGGATCGGAGCAGAGTCAGTCAGTGCTTTTGTTTTAAAACGTTCAAATGACTGTATGCAGTCGACAAGAAATCCTACTACGTGGCGGCCTGAAGCAGTACACCTTTTTTGTCGAACGCTTCCAAAACATGGCCACCCTGTAAAGCTGCTCCGTATTTCCGTATCCAGAGACTCGGCAATGTCCACAAATCCTGCTGTGACAAGTCTTTTCTGGAGTCTGATTGGTCAGTATGCCTCGGGGTCGCCCTCCTGCTTAACAGGCTTCTGTATCTTGGACACGATCGAAGTTTTCTACGCTTCCGGAAAATACTGCACCCTGACTGTGACATTGATAATTAAGACCAGAAAGAGTTTCGACTGCTATTTCTCCAGCCAAAGGGATTATAATTGTTATTGCTGCAAAATTCAGTTAAGTTCATTTGTAACTGGATCTTAATGTAACTGGATAAAAATGAACCAGCTAATTTGCTCCAATGATGCTTTTGTGCACGCTCGAAGCGGCCTACGATGAGGCGCAGTAAAGCGAGAATGAAAAAATGTCCATTATATCACGACATTTTACCGTTAGAATATGTGGGAAATCAAAATTGCGTTTGTAGATGTGTGTTCTTATTTCGAGAGCAGAACGTGCCTATCCTATATTTTAAGTGTGCAGAAACTGGAATTGTAAAAAGCGGTACGGGGACTCTGCATATTCAGTGCATATTGTGCTTTTCACGCCTTGTGATGTTTCTTCGATTGTTCCGCAACCAGGTTATGTTTGTCTTACAATAAATTGGTGCGTAATTCTATATTTCGAATTTTTAGAGTGTACGATTGTATTGTTATACCGATCAGCTATTGCCCAACTGCACTCTCGTATATATGTACATACGTATACACACATATAAATTCTGAGTGGCTGGTCGGTGGTCATCGACTTGAGAGGTCTGACCACTGATATTCGGGAGCGACTCAACCCTACGGAAGTGACGAAGTTCAGAAAGCGATCAAGAAGATCGTTAGGACTGCGACGAGTGCATACCACGTTCACGCCGACACATTTTGGTCAAGCCAGCACCCACCGACCATATACCATGCGACCCCGCTTATCCCTTGCGATCAAGCCAACTCGTGGCCACGCTTTCCGCTTTTGCTTAAATTGTTACTTAATTATTCATACAATATCTTTGATAATTCAATTAGTTTTGCAAAAGTTATGAATTTAATATAAAAGTGACTGCATTGGAAATCTCTTATCTTTGTGAAGTAACATAAAGACAACTGGAAGAAACTCATGTTTGTAAATGTAAATTAGGTACTTAGAAAATAATATAATAAAGTTTAATATAAAGTAAAATGAATTCTAAAATAAATAGTTTAACATTTCTTTGGTTCGTCGTACAGTAAGGAGTAGGGTGAGTACAGATATTAGAATAAAATAACATCTCTATTACCCTTCTATTAAATTGACGTTCCACACCGTCAGTGACTGACACCATACCAGTTACCGTTACAAATTACAGCCTTGTTTGTTGGACTTCTAGCTCCTTTCTGTAAAGTGAACTTTAATTTGTGTTGGTGTATAGCATAGTCGAATGGGGAATGAACCTTTACTACATCCGACGAGCTGAGTCTAATGATGAAGGCATAGGGTATATCTTCACAGGCCCCACAAACTACAAATCTGAGGAAGTCTCCGCTGAGACTATGTAAAAAAACTTGTTTGTTATCGTGGTTATTTGGAAATAATAATAAAATATAGGATATTTCATTAAACGTGCCTGAGTTTTTAATTGCTATAAGATGACTTGTGTTGTACCACTAACCATAGAACATATAGACTGGACATAGAGTAAAAGAATGGGTCCATGCCTATTTTCGTCGGCAGGTCCAAAGTCGTCTTCGTTTTTGTTCGGGTTCGAGACACGCTCACATGCTCAGACAGCAAGAGAGTAAGAAATACATATGATTTGTGTGGTGGAACGGCATCGCTGTTTTTTATCTCGCTCCCACTACAGGAAACTGCTTTGGCATACTAGCATCCAAATGATTTGTACTATAGAACGGCATCACTGTTTTTTATCTCGCTCTCACTACAGGAAACTGCTTCGGCTTACCCTCAGTGCTCTCAATGCTCTCTCATTATGTCTAAGGATTTAAATGTATATGTGTGTATGTGTCCGCACAAGCAACAATTGGCACAAATTCAATTTTTTCTCAAATGTCGGAGGCATTTCTTCTCTTTTGAAGGGACGAGTAATATGAAATTTTGAAAGGGTTTTCCACGTCGATGCGAAGTTGTTGCATTTTAGCTCGTTATCGTTGGTAAGGGTACCTTAGCGTAGGCAACATTTAAAATTTTTTGGTCTTGCTATGCACGCACACTTGCATATTTTGTGTATGGGTAGAAGTATTTCTGCGTTTGTGTGCCTGTTTGCTGCCTGCCTGTCCGATGCAAATTTGACAAGACTTGAAGTTTCTATGATTTCTGAATAGCGGTCGTCCAATGAGGCACAATAGAGTCAGTTAGCATAGCCGACTAATAGTGAACGATGAGAAATCAAAAGGTTGGGGCCTACACCCACAATTTTGGCAACACAAACAATATTTTTTCTTGACCGCGACCGAAAGGCCACGTACATCAACTGTTCGACTCGCAATTTAACCGTTTTCCTTACATTTTACAGTTTAATTTTTGTAGTTCGTTAAAAGATTGTTCGGACAACAGATACAAATGGGGTCTTTATCGTGAACGGATCATTAAGCTCCGTTAACCAGCGCCTGATAAAATCCAAAACAGTCCTAGCATTATTGGCCCATATAATACCATATAGAAAGACATTGAATTTGGAACAATTTAGATTTGAAAGGTTGACTGACACTAGGACAGAATGTTTATACAAAGCTATATATGTGTATATATGTATATATATATCAATATCAATATCAAGGCACAAATATACCTCATCGGCATACAATATTATTCGAGAGCGAGACACGGCTTAAGGTTATTACCTGATTGTGTTGATTTTGTTCAGCCATTGCCTTTTCTTTGGCTTGTCGCTTGCACTTATACCGATGGTTTTGAAACCATATTTTTACCTGAAAATATGAATGCCATATTAGTTTAATATAAAATATATAAACATTTTGAATACCACAAATGATTTGATTTATTTGGATTAGTAGATAAGTTTATTATATAAATATATATTATTGAGGCAAAGAGCCTGCCAAGTATTTAATTTCTTTGAATTAGTAGATAAGTAACGAGAAGTTTTTAATCTAGGTTCTTGCGAAAAGGGAAAAGCAGTAAGCGTACAGGGAGGGCTCCAAGCAGAGCGGCAGGAATCGTGAAAAAAAAAATAAAAGTTAATTATTATTTATCTTAGTTTAACGAGTATTAATAGTGAATTGTTAAAAACATACAAATTTCGAAGAAGACTATCTTTTATCTAAAACTAAATGCCGGGGCAATCCGTCGTTCAATCTAACCTACAACTAACCTAACAGTGCCGTGTTAATCTGTTGTAGTTAAGCGAGGTGCGTGAGACAATCCCGGCATTTGATATTTGTGTTCGACTATCCCTAGATTATTGACGTCAACTTCATGAGCGCTAGCGAGGTTGCAAACACAACACCCGGCTGTCTGCAGTTACTTCTGCCGATGCCCCAAATTCAATGACAACTTCAAAACAGGATTTATATATCGATTTTTATCAATTACTTTGAAACGGGCAAGTTATCGAATATCGGAAACAAACTCGATCTGCGCGGGCATTAGGAGGACCTGCAGCTAAAATTTCAAGTCTCTAGCTCTTATAGGTTCTGATATCCTTGCGTTCATACATACGGACGGACGGACGGACAGACGAACAGACAGACAGACGGACATGGCTAGATCGACTCGGCTATTGATGCTGATCACGAATATATATACACCTAAGTCTGTTTTTACACGGTCTTTTTTTACACGGTTTTGATATAACACGGTTTGAAAATTGAATATTTTTAATTTTTTTACACGATTTTATTCCATTTAGCACGATTTGAAATTTTATGTACATACTTAAATTTTTTTTGTCAAATTTAATTTTTGCGAAGTATGTTCATATCACAAAAAAGTAGTTATGAAAGAAAAAAGTCTGAAACCATCGATAGTATCGATAGTGCTATCGATAGTTTGCGAACACTAGCTTAAAGATTTAAGTGAATTCCCTTTTAGCGCGTACAAGCAATTTTTACTGGTCAAAGCAAATGTGAATAGCACTAATTTAGGGGAATTCCCTTTATGTGCATACAATAAAATTTACTGGTCAGAGCAATTGAAACGTGTTAATATTTTGTGAACTGTCAATGCAATAAGACGTGTTTTGTTAAGAAATTTTTTGCAGGCAAATTTGATTTTCCATTAAATTTAATTTTAACGCATTAAGATAAAGGGTAAGCCAAAAAATATTTTGTATTTATTCAGTTATTTATGTTTTTTAATTTTGTAAAATATTTTATGTATCCCTAAAAGGAAATGTCAGATATAAAACTAAAACGGAAGGCAATTTCTTTGGAAACCAAGATTGAAATTTTAGATCGCCTTCGAAATGGAGAAGGCTCAACTGCTCTTGGTAAAACGTTCGGTTTAAATGAAGCCACAATAAGAACTATAAAGAAAAATGAAATTGCTATTAGGCAATCGGTGATTTCTGGAACGAACCTATCTGTTAAGTCTTCATCATACACTAGAGATGCTGTTAAAGAAAAAATAAACATGAATTCTTGTTCTTAAAAATTCTTGTTTTTCACTAATTTTAATAGGTTTTAGAGATTAGGAACAAATCACCCATTTTTGTATACGATCAATGTCTTTTTTTACACGGTTTTTTTTACACGGCTTCTTCTGGAACCAATCTACCGTGTAAAAACAGACTTAGTTGTACTTTATGGAGTTTGAGATGCTTCTTTCCGCCTGTTACATACATTTGCACAAATACAATATACCCTGTTTACCCATTTTTAATGGGTTCAGGGTATAACAAACGATTCCACAATGAAAAAAGCACAACACCTTTTTGGTTTGAGGCTACAGCTTATGATCCTAGCTCCTGCACTCTTCTAACTCATTATTGTAGTTTCTAAACACTCCTTTGCCTATAATTAGCAAAGTCCCAAAGTCATGTCTTCTTTTTCTTCACTCGATTTTAGCTTGCAAGCAGCCAGGCAGATTTTTATAATTTTTCATTTTTGGACCAGCAAAGCACTCTTTCTCTAAATAGGGTATTTTGACTATTGATCAGTGCAGTAACCAAATGGTACAATCCTTCTTCTATACAAATTGTTATCCAATGTCGGAGTAAAATATAATTTCGTATTAACTGTGCAACTATTCGTACAATAAATAATAATAATTTTCTTTAAACATTATACACTATTACTATAAATAAGGGTATCAATGCCTCGACGCGCCTAATTGTTGTTGGCGTAAGTGTAGCAACACATATTTTGGTGCAAGTATGCATATATGAGTCTGCCAAGCCCGGGGAAGCATATGAATTCAAGAAGATTGCAACATTCTGTTGGGACTGTGACGGCACATCCTAAGGCTTTTTGTGTGCGATCGTTGCGTACAGTAAATTAATAGATTTGTCAATAAATTATTGACTTAAGAGACCCTGCTAATAAATAATTTAAATGGATGTAATTAGGATAGAAATATATCCTACACATCACAAGGAATAAAATTCTATGAAATGTGACGTCATAATTTTTGATGTTAACGTGCCGTGTGCGTAACCCTTTGATTTGAATGCCATGACCTGCTGGCATATGAATTTTCTACCTACTTGGGGAACAACAACATTAGAACCCAAATAGTGTTGTTGTTGTTTTTACGCGCTGCCTTGTAGGAACGACAGAGAAACATGCAAAAAGCACAGTGGCATTATTTGCCTCTTTTCTTTGCACTGAGTTTCCTATGTCCTCATCATCGCTCTCAAACTCTTGCTGATCAAGACGGACGACGAAAAAAAGTTTCGTGCGCACTGTTGTTGTTTTGCAAGTGATTTGTTGTTGCATCCTATGGAAAATGAGCTTTATTTCTTGTGTTTGACTTTGCGTTTGCGGACCAACTCGATCCACCGCTCATGATCTTAAAAACGGTAAAAAAAAGCTCAGAGTGACTTTTCCGCTCTGTCTCTTTATTTCTCAACGACGTCAACGGTAGGCATATAGAGTCGAAGTTAATCGCGAGCAGCTCTTGCGTATACGTTACGTTTTGCTAATCGTGTCTACCCGAGTAGTGGAATAAACTTAAACGTAGCCATAGAGGGTCGGAGGTAATCCCGAATTGCTCTTGCGTATGCCCAGTGTGTCTCTAGGTATACTATTTTTGGAACACCAAACTCGTCAATTCCTCAAATGGAAAATCGTAAACCACATTTCTGCGAGGCTATATTATTTTCCGTTGAGTTGCCTTTAATTATTTATACCAGGCACATGATGAAATTAATGTGCAATCTATTTTTATCATTCTTCAGATGTCACTTCTGTATAATTCGATGTATTTCTGCCGTGAACAATTTGATTGTAAATTCTTCAAGAAGCGCGACTTTTAAAGAGATTAATCTCTTTCTTCCCACACAGTTCGAATTAATGATTTTGCAGCCCAAATCAACAACTGCTAAGCGTACATAAGTAAATAAAGTTGTAGTCTGCTGTACTTTTACCACACTCCGTTAACTCTTCAACCCATTGATGAATGTCTAGGCTATCAGAGCTAGAGAATGTTGAAACACTAACTTCTACATCCTTTAACAAAAAGCAAGTCGTTCTTCAAAATTACAGTGCTGTTACAACTGACTCGTCAACGTTGTCTTCCTCGTCGTGGTGGTCATAATGAAGTAACAATATAATTTGTAAGTCGGGTTTTAAATCGGTCGTCTACAAACCAAGCTCGGATAAATTTAGCAGGTCCAATATCTCATTAACCTATATCGATACAGCTGCACAAATGTTTTAATAATAAAGTGTTAATATTTTTTGATCCTACAAAGCAAACTATATAAATTTACCGTATAATATCGATATAGCTTATGTTTGTGCTATATAAAATACCACCACTTCTGGCAACGTTTGCCTGACGCCAATCGCCGCCCCATCCACCATCCACAACACATATGTATATGCAATTTAATTCAGTTAAACAAATAGGCCTGCATTCATTATTCACTCGTGTCACTTCATTATATTCTGGCTGAGCCCACAATTTGTTCAATACCCGAGTTTCCGTAGCAACGCAAATATTCAAAGATATCTTTTTTTAATACAACAGTTTATTAATGTGATAAATATATTGAACTTATTAGAAATAATATTAATAAGGCTTGGATATGATTTTAATCTTTGAAGAGTTAAAAAACAAGTTAGTTATAACTGAATCTATTCCTTTGACATTCTGCAAGCTTCCGAGCGATTTAATTCACATACGACATGGTTTGAACCGACATAAAGAGCCGCTGTTTGATGATTCCGAACCGGCGTTCGCCCACATCACAGGGGCTAAAGAAATTGTGGACGATTATAACCTGGACGGGGGTATGTCGGATACATAATAAGATCATAAGGAAACATGAGAACTTGGCCTCGGAGATGATGACGAGTCCTGAGGTGAGCTACGCTTCATTGGTGACGAAGCCAATGACACGTTGGTAAGGGCTATCCCTTAAGATGTCCCTAAGACTTTTTTAGATAACTCACACGACTGAAAAGCAGCAGCTGACAAAATTATGACGGTCTAAATAGTTCATTCGGGGAATATCGCCATCATATGGCTGAAAGATATCTTTCATAGAGTCTCTTCTACTGAGGAAGTCCCAGATATTTTGCTGATGTCTA